AGGGGCATATCTCGAATGTTCGAACCAATGTTAATATAATATTAAGTTATGTTGATTTAAATCCCGATTAAATGTATAAGTATATCTTTTATTATCAAATTTATTAACGTTTTTATTTGTTTCTGTTTATAATAGTATTCTGTCAAAGAATGTTAAAGAGCTTTCTAAATTAATAGTGCATCTGGTTTAGTAATCGTTGTTTCTTAATGTCTTCCTCATGTTTCTCTCGCAAGAAATACTAGATATTTATAATTATAAATCCAAGCACTGAAAATCTAGTTTTCAAGAGACCTAAAATACATCACCGATAATTAATTATAGTTATTCACATGATACATATGTATCGATAATGTTCAAACAATTTGATAGTGAAGTATTTTTTGGAAATCTCAAATCAGTACCGAAAATTTCTCTTGTACGTGATAGCTATTTTAGATAAAAAATTGATTAAATATAGTTCATAATTTGATTTTTTTACTTTGATAACAGTTATATGCATTTATCGTTGTTATTATTAGTTGTTATTGCAATTTAAAATTATTTTACTTGTAACTAGACTATCTCATTGTCAATATACTGTCACATGAGAGGTATTATTAAATACTGAACGCCAGAGTTTGAAGATAATACATTTCGTAATATATAGTCGCAAAACAATAAACGTTTAACTTAAATAATATTGACGTATTGATGTTACAAAAAATATGCAGCATTTTTTCGGGATTGATTAAATACGTCAATATAACAATAGAAGTTCATGTTCATGGAAGACAATAATATGTTAACGTATCAAAATTGATATCAACATTTTCTTAGAATTGTCAAACAAATATTGATTTTTTGTTATTTTCATATTATTAACATACATATCGATTATTTTTTATTATTATATTATTGTTCTACGTATTGATTATTTTTTATTATTATATTATTGTTCTACGTATTGATTATTTTTTATTATTATATTATTGTTATACGTATTGATTATTTTTTATTTTTACATATATTTACTAAGTTAATAATATTGATTCGATGTTATTTTGATCACATAACATTGATTATATTATTCACATGGGATGGTTTAAATAGCGTGGAGAGCCATTGCAACCATCAGTATGGTTCACGTTTTTTGTCTTGAAAAACAAAGTATAAATAAAATTGTTTTATTAACCGATTTAGAAACTGTCTATTGTCAGATTGGTGAAAAATCAGTAATATTAATATATGATACCCTATGTTGTGATTAGGGAGAAATTTATTTTGTTCATCAAAAAATTTTATATGGTAAAAATAAAGTAATAACATTATTAATTTTTATTAGAGTAACCGTCTTTTTTGTGTTGTATAAATTTACGTATACAAACAATATAAAATAATAATACAAACTAATACAAAAACATAAATTTTTATTTTTAAGGGCTACATACTGACAAATATGGTACCATTGCAGTTTGCGATTAGTCCTGAATCATTTTCATGCGTGTACCCTAAAATAGGGCCCCTTATAAGGCTTCTCTTTTTACGCGGATATAGTTATCGTATAGATTAGTTTTGTGCAGGGGTGGAGCACCTTTAATGTTTTTGTCAAAACTCTACACTGACTCTTATGGAACACAGACATGTAATATATATAATGATAGAAGAAAATATAAGAGATATTAGGTAATTTCCATATAATACAACGTTTCTAGAAATTGTTAAATTAATAAAATACAATTTTAATAATTAATTATTAATGAGTTTAAAGTAATAGATTTAAATAAAAAGAAAATATATTTTCATTATAAGTATGTTCTGTATTATTATTTTTATTACTATTTTCGATGGAGAATAATTTCCTATATTTAGTCAACTTATTTCAGCATTATAAGATTAAATCAAGTTATTGGCGTGTCACAAAGTATGCGAGGAATAATTTTCTTCGACAGAAAATTGTAAAAAAATAATAAAATAATATAAAAGATAAAACAAAAATTTAATATAATGGACAAGAGATAGATACGATTATAATGTATCTACTAACTGAATTCTTAAAAATTTAATTTTGTCTGTGATAAGAAATTTTCGAGTAAGATATTGATTTATTCATACATTTCTTACCTCAATAATATACGTCTACTAAAATGTTGTTGTTTCTAATATTATTTCGTTTTGAATTAATTTTATTATGCAATTTATATTGACAAAATTTGTAGGTGTACTTCATAAAGTATAGTTTAATTTTCAGTTCTGTAAAAAGTTAATTCGACAAGGTTCCCAGGAAATAAAAAAAATAAGAATATCCTCGCGAAAATTGCAAATGAACATAATGAAAGAGATTTCAAGGTGCAAGACCAGTTTCCATGCGCTTCTACCTGTCATTATCCGGAGAGAAAGTAATTTATCTTTCTGTAATCGCTATACCGTTCGCGAGGACAACGTGTATTTACTTGAAACGTTTTCGTTGAAAAGTGTGAAAGAAAATACGAGGCCGACGCAATTTCTTTAAATGGAAAGTTGTATCATTCGTGAGGCGAGTTCAGTGACTCCGTGTGCAAGGTCATCGAAGATCACTGGTGCATAGGGAAACGGCCTTGGATGTACTCTCAGTGGCTACTATCGGTTTTTGTAACAAGCTCACGAAGCTCCTACGTTCTGCCATCGATGAGATCACTTCCACTTGTCTTTTTAAAAGTGGCTATTGCCTTCTAGGGTGGAAAATGTAACGCACTATATACCGGGTGTTTCAATAAGGATTGATACTTTATTATCTACGCTATTTCTGGAAATACGATGAAACTTTATTAACGAAAGTTGTTCTATGTAAAGGGGACAATAATGTGACAACAAACTTTTGAGGATGGATGGGTTTTGAATAATTCAAGGTTATTTTCATTTTTTTATGGAATTATGTGAAATGCTGCAACATTATGAAATCATATTAAAAAGAATTGTACTGATATGTATGTTGAAAAATTATTAGTTTAAAAAACATATCAATTTCTAAGGAATTCAAAATTGAAGATATAAGATTTTATTTAATTCCTCAAATCTTATGTCTTCAATTTGGAATATCTTAGAAGTTGATATATCTATCTTCTAAACTTATCGACAATAACTTGTCGGCATACACATTAAGACTTTTTAATATGATTTCATAATGTTGCAGCATTTTATATAATTACATTAAAAAAATGGCAGCTCTCATTACGAAGATCTAAAGAATTCAACGAAATTAAAAGTGTAATATCCCCTAAAATAGTAATCCTTCGGCAGTCATGGATTAATTATTTATTACACAGAATATAGAGCAGCATTAATTATTACATAAAAAACATGATTTTATTAAAGAAATTGAAGTTGTCCTTAAAATCTCCAAAATCGTCACTTACAAAAAAGTGAGTACTGTCACACTGTGGCCCTCATTATATTGAAAAACTTATCTCCTCGCCAACAGTCCCCGTTCGCTCAACAGTGGAGATAATGAAGTGTCAATCCTTACAAAAACACCCTGGATATGGAAACGCGTTTAGCCTTGCCGACACTCTGGTGAATGTGCTCAAAGAGTAACCGTTTTTACATCGCATCAATTAATACACCGTAAATAGAATGCTCGTATTTAATACACTTTTACAGTTATTTTTCTAAAGCTGTTATTTTTTGAGGTGGAAAATGTAACGTTCGGTACATGGAAACGTGTTTGGCCTTGATGAATAAAATTTTGTACACTGCTGATGATATTGGAGGGATAAGTAGTATGTTGAATTTACACTCTGTATTTCTTATATCGTATCCAGCAGTCTCCAGATACTTTTGAAATGTTACTGAAAGTTACGAGTATTACTTTATGGAGTAATACATGTAACGTACGATATATGCAAATGTAATTTGCGTTGGTGACACCTTAATGAATATTTCTGGACAGTAATCGTTTTAATGCCACATCCAGTAACTTCCGACAAACAGTAATATATTTATTTTATACTTTTGAAGATATTCGAGAGATAAGTACACATATTGAATTTAATTGCCTATACGTTTTTTCATTGTGTTCAGAAATTTACAACAACTTCTGCATAGCATTTTGAACAAAACCTTTGTATTTTATATACATTGTAAACACTAGAACTGTTGAATTTTTAATATGATTAATACGTAACCTGTATAAAAATTATAGCAATAGATTTTTTTCGGTTTCTTCATGTATTTATTATATATGTAATCGCATGAAAGTATCTATTTTTAGAATCATTTCGGATATTTAACACTTTCAAAATATCAATAATTGAGAAATAAGAAAACTGAAATCCGTCATTTAGAAGGGTGCGGTAGTTCTAATGTTAAAATATTCTTCAAAGGCAATTATTACACATATTTTCTGGAATGGAAAATATAACATAGATTATACATGGAAATATGTTTGACTTTAGCGATATGTTAATGAAGATTCCTGAAGAATAATGGTTTTTATATCGCATCTAATAACTCCCGACAATCAGTAGTTGTGTATTTTTTACACTCTTGAAAATATTCGAGAGATAAATATGTAGAATTGCCATATCGATTAAAATAACTGGTGTTAGAGTTCCCATTTTACAATTGTTGAAACAATATAGATTTTTGTATACATTATATTATTCTACTAATTATTTAAAAAATGAATATTTTTGTTTGTATAATATATCAAACATCGTAAAGAGACTTTACAAAGTGTGCTCTTATAATTTTTATAAGAAATTACATATAAATTATTTTAACATGTTTCGTATCGTGTGTCATAAGGAATTTTTGCAGCCTATGTTTTTTAATTGTGTTGTTATTTTTGTTTATTAATGCACTTTAAACTCTTCATATTTTTAGTAATCATGCTTTTTGTTGCATTATATACATTATGAGGTGTTTTCAAAAGCAAAATGATTGATCATGATAACGTATCATAGTACTTAATAATCGTAGTATTAACCCCTTGCACTCGATCGCCATTTGATTTCATCTATCCAAATTATAAAATTTCAAATTCAATATTAAAATTTCATACAATTTATCAATACAAAGACATTGAAACAAAGTATTTTTATTTCTTAATCCTAGATAAGTAAAAATTTGTCCAAATAGTCTACCAATCTCTGTCAGTTTGACGCATCCGAATTCAGCAGCACGCCTTTAATATCTACAAAGACTGAAAACGTTAATTTTAAACGCCTTTCTATTTTCTGATTAGAATCTAATAATATATCTCTTAAGTTGTGCTATTTTCGTTGAAGTAAACAGAAGAAATATAAAAATATGCGTGTCTTTAATTTGCAGTGTATGAGTCGGACGTTTAGTTATAGAGTAACACTAATTTAAGTTTAGTTATCTAGGGTTAATCCCTTGCCTTAGAACAGCGTGTCAGACTCGTGGTGAAGATTTTAAAGAGAAGTTAACAAACATAAATATTACCCAACTCTTTTGAATTTAAATGAAATATTATTTTTCTGATATTAATTATTACACTTCACAGTAAACATAAACACAGAATATGTACAGAATTTTTCTGATCTTTTAAATAAATTATTAATAACAAAGGTTTATCGATCGCCACTAAGAAATAAATTATAGTGCAGGGGGTTAATGGATGCAAGATATTTCTTTATGTTAGTCGCAAAAAGTATCGATGTTTCGTCAGAAAATAATAATTATTGTAATAGAGACTATTGTCAAGTGCAAAGGGTTAAAGTATTTACTTTAAATAGTATTTACCAGATCAGTCCAGAACAGTGGTAACGTGAGACCATTGAAGATGCTAGTACGGGAATTGTAAGTGTTGTGCATCACGAGATTGATCTGTAGTCTTGAGTTGACCTTCAACGGAATGCCAATCGTCTGAAAAGGGAAAGGCAAAATGTGAGCGGTGAATCATCGATCCGGGGTAAGAACAATGTGCGAGTTCATATCGAATCACTCAACCAGTTATCTTTCGATTCGTAAGGTAAGCCGGGGAGAGATGGCCCACTAGGGATTAAATAGATTCCGAAAATAACTGTTTGAAACTGTTATATATCGGTTCCGACTAAAACAGTTATGAAGAATCGAAATAGAGTCATAACCGTTATTGAGTGCATTGATTTAGAGTTATATCGGCTTCGGTACCGGTTCTTTAGAACCGATATTATATAATAATAATAATTATTATTAACTGAAATTCTAAAGTACCGATTCTATAACTGTTATTTTTCGGTTCTGTATTACTTTCAGGAAACAATAATTTTTAAATTTATTATATGCTAATAGAAATTATGTTTCTTAAAGAATTAGACATTTTTGAAATTTGTTATCAATTTCCAGATTATTTCTAATAATATAAATCGTTGCTTCTACCACTCAAGAAAATGAAAAATTTTATCAATTTTAACAAGATTGAGTCATCTTATCCGAAATCATCCTATATTTTCAATAATTATTCGTAAGGTTAACTAAAGAAACTAAAAACTCATTCGAATCCTAGCGCCAACAAACTTTCGAGCCATAGTGTATGTAACTTGTGCGAAGACTCATATGACATAAAAAAATTCGTAGCATTCCATATAAAAAATCAATGGTCAGTCTTGTTTCTCAAGAAATATGGAAAATATAAGAAACTGATAAACATTATCATGTTGACCATAAGAAACTGTACAACTTTTTCCTTTCCATTTTTTTCTTATACCTACCATTTTCAAGGAAAATAATAACAAGTAACAGTTTGAACAACCTGTATACAGGTTCAAAATAGAAAAAAGACTATAAAACACTTGAAACTAAGTTTCCGATTGGGAATGGAATGCAATAGAGTATTAAAGTTAAAATTGGAGGCTCACAAAGCATGTTGCTCTCACCAAAACCTTTACAATTACATTTATGCGTAATCCAATCAAAATAGTGAATTGATTGTAAATTATTTCAGTTGTTAAAAAAAACCCGTAAGGTCGACAACACCACCGATCTATATCGACGACCGGTTTACGAATGCGTTCTTCTCGCATACCATGCCTTTTCTTGTGAAACAGCTCGTAATGTTGTAAGTTTCTCGTTACGCGGATCGTGCACTTGATACAAGCTTCTCAGGTCGGTGTCGTGCGTTGCAACGCTTACATAAATTTCAGAGCAAAAGACAAAGTTGAACAAGGACAAGCTGTAATACGCGTGGAATGATCGTTAGGTAATCGTGTTTTATCAATGCATCTCTTTTTTTCATCGATTTTTTCTTTCGTGTTTTAATCAGTTTGTTATTTTACGTAAAGTTAGATCCGCGACGATAGGCCAACATCTTGAAAATTTTTATATATATCGTTGGGGACATGATTTTGAACAATTTTTTCCTTTACATGTTGCTCATGGAAGGCTTTAGTATCCAAGAAAATTGCGAAAAACTTCTGGTACCACTATATTGAATTCTGTATACGTGAGTGCGGATATTTTTTTTCAATATAATGTAACAGAATTTAAGGGAATAATGGTAGTAATATAATGTAATAAGGTAAAATAAAAAATATTGTAATGTTTCACTCTATAATTCGAAAAATTATTTAATATTGAATATAAAAGATATGTAAGTTACGTAGTATTCTGTAAATAATTTTTTATTGTAAGTAACGTTAAAATAACGTGTACTACAATTAGTACAAATATGTAGTTGATGTATAGTTGCATTTTGTTAGCTTTTATTTAAGAATATTTCAGCGAATACTATTTTGTAAATATCTTTTAAGTACCTTGAAATAAAATATCAATTTTAAAATACTTTAATAGTTTCTTACTCAATCTTATTATATACATAACAAAGGGTTTACGAGTAATTTAAGGTGGTAGAATCGCATGATTCGTTCTGTGTATCTAATGCTATAAGAATTATTCAGAAGAAAGCACGGTACATTTGTTCCAATGACTTCAATGTCACACAATGGTTCTTAAAATCACTTACCGGTTGTAGAATGATTTTCGATGAATGCTTGTCGAAGTCTGGACTAAGGCCTTCGACATCATTCAGCAAACTCGGATCTGCGTTAAGAAAGTGTGGCAAAGACATAGCTGCTGGGATACCTGAAAGAACAGAATAATGGGGTCATTGAGTATAACATAATTAGTTCATTAAATAGATGTATCGACATAGATAAATATTCGCGTACAAATTTTTTATATGATTGGCATTAAAACAATTTTCTAGTCTCTTCAACGTTTTAATTGAACTAATTTCAATTACTTCAATTTGAAAAAATGTAAATAGAAATCCTATTTGTTAAATTAAGAATAGACACATGTTAAAAAGTTAATATTTTTAAATTGAATAATACGAAACTAAAGCAAATAATTAAAATTTTCTAAAATGTTCATTTTATCTTGATGCTTGATATTGCCATTGAACTGTTGTCATGTTTTCTTGTCGTGCTGGTATTAAAAGCAAACAAGCCTGAAAAATACATATTCAGGGATGAAGGGGTTAAAATCATGCGTCACTTCTTGTTAAGTTAGTTTAAAAGAATGTTTATATTTCATCATAAAATGTCGAATATTTCTAATAAAAAGCTTTCCAGTGTAAAGGGTTAACGTCGCGTTGATCTACATATATTCCTAAAGTTCAAACTTCGACATTTGATGTTACAGGACGGCAACTGTTGTGCATTTACTCGGTGAATCTGACAAGACCTGGACGGTGATTTCAAAGAAACCAACGAGCGGTGAGTCTTTTCCCCTTTCTAAAATTGTCGGACAGTAGAACGCGAATTATTCAAACGAGGCAGAGTATATATTACAAGCTCGCGATATTAATCAGTGGAGCAATGTAAGAATTGTAATAAGTATTTCCTTTCTCCTGGAGTGAAACTATCGAACAGGAAATAATGCAAATATTTTGATAAGATAAATTGCTTTTAACGCGTTTGCGGCCGGCAAATTTTTCGCTTTTCTAAGACTCATACTGATTAGAAAATTTGTTTTGAAACATTAATCTTGTAACAATCTGTAGGTGGAAATGAAAAACTTTTCATTAAATAAATTGCAAATGGAAACGAGTAGAGGAGTAAAATATTTTGAAAGTTATTATAATTGGAAAGACATGAATTCATGTCAATGGTCGCGAACGCGTTAACACGTTGCTTTTCTTGCAATTGTTTCACGTAGTATGTTATCCGTATAATTTTTATACGAATAAAACATAGTAAATAGTATATTTTACATAAATATCGTATATGTGTGATATTTTGATATAGCCAAAGCAACAATAGTGTATATGGTACCCCAAATATATGTTAATATCGTCATAGCAACGGTAATCAACAACATTGATTAATCATCAAAATCAATTGTAATATATGTGCTAATAATCATGAAAATGGTCTATAAGTCCAGAATTAAAAGAAAATATGTTTGCCAGTTATTTCGCGTCACATTCTTTTAAAACAAAATAATTTGATGTAATTTTTAAGAAGCTGTAAAAATAAAACCGTTAAATTGAGTAAATTATTACATACTGTAATAACACGGTGTCATATCGCTAAGTCCTTTCTTGAGACATTGAGACTTTTTCTTGCAGAAGCACTCGTTATCTGGATTCTCATCCGGTGTATCTAAGAAATTGTCAGCTACACTGTACAGATATCCTTCGAAACCGTTGTCCAGCCAAAGTTGTTCCTTAAATGTGATCGGAATTGCTTTGCAAAACGCTTTTCTGAACACTCTGAACACCGCGTGCGGGTCCAAATTCGATGGGAACAATTCTCCTTCGGTGGATCCTCGGACACGGTTGCAAATGGTGTTTCTATTATAGAAAAATTAGTGACGTGTATTTAGTAATAGCTGGAAATAATAAAGCTACAAAGTTCTTCATTGTTGTACTTTCTGATGCTAGGAAGTTTCATTATACTTGTTCTAATATCTTAATAGTTATTCTAACTTTTAATATGTAAGTCTTATTAAGAAACTCAGGTTAGATTTATATAGCCTTGATCTAGTTTAAATGTCTCTGCACTAAATCAACCTATTTCATCTTTAGAGCTTAGATTATATTGGTGTCTTACAGACAGAATACTATTCTGTTATTCTGTATTCTATACAGGGCAATACAGTGTTTAAGCGTTTCTTTTTAAATTATTACACTGTATGCATGATTACACCTGTCCCTCCATTTACGCGGATTATCCGTTCTATATGGATTTGTTTTACGCGAATGAAAATTGCGAAAAGATTTTAAGAAATGAAACAAAATATTAGAACGAAAAGCTGTTACAAGTCTTAGAAAGATATATTTATTTCCGATAGCATAACAAAAAAAGAATAATAATGACATTTTAAAAAATAAAAGTAAATTTTATTTTAATGGGTTTTATTTACACTAAATTCAGATTGCGTAAATTGATATCATAAATAATGTTAGAGTTTTTAGTACGCACTAGCCCACAAAAAACAAAGAAAACGCGCAGCGTCCAGGCGACGCTTTAAAATACACCTAACCTTCGATTTACACGGCAGATTGTTTCCCCGAAAATGCTGTGTAAATTGAAATCGTACAATTCGAAGTCTACAATTCACATTGAAAAAATACACATGTAAAAAATTTAACAGATCCATATGAAACAGTATTATTTATCTTTAATATAAAATATATTTTTGTCTTATGAGTATTTTTTTATATACTATATAAATACATCTTCTTTCAATTCTTTGTCTTTCTATCTGTTTTTTGTTTTTAGCTTTCTTTCTACTAAAGATTTTTCGAGAAGAGTCTGATCTTTTAATACCCATTTGGTGGTGGCAATAGCGCAAATAAAAATAATGTCATTTTTGCATTTGTCTAAATTGACCGTGTTAACCTGTTAACTGTGGAATTTAGTTTAAAAAGTTTCTCGGCGCTTGAAAGGCGCTTAAAAAATTTGGTTTCAATGTAAGGACAACAAGTGTAAATGGAAGTTCTTCCACTCTTCAACCGTGTTAAACCGAAACCGCGCAATTCGAATGCCGTGTGAATCGAGGGTTAAGTGGAGTATAAAGTTAATCATTGTCAATCTTGAATTAAAGACTCTGACACAACGCTCAGCGATCGTGACTTCTACCACTTCGTAAATCATACGGTAGCCTTTTCCGACATTCGTCATTGCACACTGGCCTCAGAAAAGAGTTTTATGTAGTAGTTTTTGTACGTTTATTCCGTGCCCAGCAATGTGTAACAGTTTTATAATTTACCGCGTAAAAAAAAGGCAGGTGTAAAAAAGGAGTGTCCATTTGGAGGGACGGGTGTACACAAATTAAGTATAAAAATTAAGAGTTTTCTCATGGGTGTTTCGACCATCATAATGAAAATAATACTCACTGTGGCAGCGTCTCGTTTCCTTCTGGTTCTTGATATCCCCATTGTGACATTCCTGGACTGTAATTGTAAGTTTCGATGCTCAGATACCGTCCGTCCTCCTCGGTCATGTTCTTGTTTTTTCCAATGTTCATGAACACGATATTATCTCCTTCGTCGTACATCTGCGAAAGACAGAACACTGCTTGAGACAACGGGATAAAACGATACGTGTGGACTTGAGAACAATGTAATCAAGAGAAATCATTGATTCGCATAAATACCAGATTGGACTGATAATTCATTCAGAATGCAAAAAATTGATGAGAATAATTTATGCGAACGCATGTCTGATGTGATCTTAAGTGCAATATTATGTGCCAATTATGTTAATTGGTTTCTTATCACGCCCAGAGACCTTATGAAATTTTACGAAAAGCAATTATCCTTCGCTGGATGGTTCCCTCAAGGCTCGAGATTCATTGAGAATTTTAGAAAGATCGTATAATCGAAAAGAACACGTGTACGATGATATAATGTAAATTATACCGTAAATATTAAATTTTATGGTATAAATCACAGGAACTGAAAATAAGTAGAAATTGATTCTGTTAAATTGATGCTGTTAAATAAATAAGGTACTAGATCCACAGCATAGTAATTGTAGTTCTACTATTTTTTAAAATCAATCAAAGAAAAGGTGCTACGTGCACTTATGTCAGTTCGTTCATGATAGTGACCATGCACATCAATGATTTCTCGTACCTTTGTGCAGTACATGAGTTTTATTACATCTTTTACAGCTTGTTCTGTTGGTAAATAATTTACGACATGGAATATTTGAATATTTATTCATTCCTTTTTTTATTAAAGTATTTAGTCTCACTTCTCCTTGAATAGTCGATGACTAGACTTTTGAACGATAAAATAGAATGATTCATAACATGCAATTATATATTCGCTGATAAATCTACGCGGTGTAATTGAAATTAAAATTGTTCATCCATTTCAGATAAATCGGTTTGAAAATGCAGAGAGAAAGAGGGGAGAGAGAGGGAGGGGGGTATTTTTACGTAGAAACTATAATTAATATTGTTTCAAAATGAGTTAGTTTCCAGCTGAAAAATTTATTTCTTACAAATTAGATATGTAACAGTAATTGAAATTGGAGAGCGTAAGTAATGTAATAGTTACTTAATATTACAACTAGTGAACAAGTGATTGGTTCGTAGTCTTGTACAGCAAGATTATGATACAATTATAAATGCAATTGTATAAATTTATAGCAATTATAAATATAATTTTTTAAAACTTCTATTACATTTGATAATTCTAATATTAAATTCCATTAAATATCAGATGTAGTACAAAGATCTTAAATTTTTTAATTTCCGACCACGTAGAAGTATCTGTTCAATGTAAAAGCTATAAAAAGCACTTGATGGTAAACAGCAATTACGCTTGATCTTGGTTTTAAATCAATGACATTTTTTTCAAATTTGCACTCGATTTCCATAGAGATTTTCAAAGAGAAACTGCCTACAAACGAATAGGTGGATCGTACTTGACATCATGATCATTGAGATTAAATATGTGAGTGAGTCAGTTGCACTCGTTCAGTTGACAATGAGTAGCAGAATGTTTTAGAGCACGCACATTGCATGTGAAACTAGCATAGATTGTTATATAATTTCTATTCTCACGATCGTTTACAATTATTAACGTAAAAGTAAACTGTAAATATACTTGCGTCGCGTATGAATTCGGTTTTGAGTCGATTGACTTCGAAAATTAATGTGATATAAACGGATGCATTAACACCAATGATAAGTAGAAATAGCAAATAATGATCAGACATGCTCGTCGAGTGATATTGAATTACACGTGCTCGGTAAACGTTCGAATATGATTTTCACGAAAATAAAAACTGTCTTCTCTTTTCTTTTATCATTCACTTTACTATCAATTTATATAAAAAAAGAAAGTGATTTTTCTAAGTTTGAATTTCCTATTTAGAAAGAAGAGTAAAATACTTTTAACATTTTTTAAAGTAAGTGTCGATCACTGAAGTTTTATTTTCAAGAATTTTTGTTAGACGTTATAGAGACAATAATAATTAAAAGTTATAAAATTCAATTTTTTAAGGAATTCTTTTCGTAATTCTTCTAACTTTCTATACATCTTTTAGTATATTTATATTTCTAATTTATGTAAATAAAATGACTGGAAAAGACAAGAAGAACAACAACAACGAATCAGCAATGGTTTGAGAATTTATTAGCCAATGAAATTGGTTTGCAACCTACCTATCTAAAAATACCTATATATTCTCAAACTTGCCTATACTACAAACCCAAATATTCGACAAATTCAACGTGTATTTCCAAACAAATGAAACGTACTATACAATTAATGTCTAAAAATCTACAAAATTTTTATCATTAGTGACTAATCAAAACGGGCAGCAAACTGTTAAAATATTCTCTTATAAATAATACGAAACCAAGTGTATCTCATTGATTAATGCTATAAATCATTGTCAGCGAACCAATACCGCAATCACTAAAAGTAGATCGTAAAAATGACACGCGATCGTTCGCAAAAAGAGCAACAAGCCGATAAAATATTTTTAAAGCAATATGAAACTAAATGTATCTTGCCGCCTAATGTTGAATTACTGGCAGTAATACCAAGCGTGCCAATACCGCAATCATTTGAACTAGAACACTAAACCGACAATCGTTCACCTTTGAGTATGACATAGAACGTTCATTAACAGTTCCTTTCGACTCATTATTTGTCGTAATAAGGCGAACGAAATCGCAAACGAAACTGAGTAACAGGCTCAGGAATCTCGTCGCCAGAAATCTTGGCGGCAGGAGTGGCCCGAGATTGGACTAAGGGTCAGTACACACGAGCAATGAGATCTCGCTGCAATCTCACGGCGCACAGTGGGGTATTTGCTTGATCTGGGCGGCCAAAATTAAAGACAGGTTTATATTAATTTTTTTACAAGAAAATATGGAAATGTAAGATAATAATATACAATAATATGCAATTATATGGGATATAACAATAAATTTATATTAATAAATTTATATTGATAAATTGTGTAAATTTCATATATTTATATAAAAAATTATGTAAAAATATATAAATATATAAAAAATTATACATTATATTACATCATGTAACATAGAATAATATAATATATAATACGTAATAATACACCATAAATACTATATAATTGTTTAATTTATTGATTTTCTGTGAATTTTCTACACTAGTGAGCAACATTAAAGGATCAGAAAATTCCTGCTGAAACATTGCTGAAGTTAAAAGTAATATAAATTTAAAAGAAAAAAATTTGTTTCAAAGTGTTGAAGTTAATGACTTTAGTAAGTGACTTTCCGAAACACTGCAGACCGCGATGCACGGCGAGTGCCCGCCAAATTTGTCATCCTTGTCGCGATCCGTTGTGATCATCCAGTAACCGTTGTGACGTTGACTCTGCGGTTTAGCAAATGACGTAAGCTCGTTGTCACACCGTTTTGTCAATCGCGCGGGATTGCCAGCGATTCTGAGATTGACAGAATTTTATGATAATGATCGTTCATCATTTTTCAAATATTAGAGATTACGTTAGGACCAGCGAAGCCAAAAAGCAATCAAACAGTTGCGTTTCTCCCACTCCGCCTTACCCCTTTATTTAAAATATGCTTAAAGTTAAGTTAAGCTGAAGTTAAATTTCTATTTAACTCCTTGCACTCGATTTATTTTCAATGTTGTTAGGTGTAAACTCGTATTTATTTTTAGGGAAACGAATTAAAGTAATTTACAGCGACAGAATTCAACGTTTTATATTTACTTTATTTATTATTATCGTAATAAGACTTAATTTTATAATCTTTCAAAATGTGGTATTTTTTAAAGTATCACAAATAAACTATAATAAATTTGTATTGTCATCTTCAGCATGTCATACGAGTGCAAAGGGCTAATGTTTAATATCACACATTACAAGGGAAGGAACGAAATGTTTTTAAGAATTTTCCGTAATTTTACATTAATGTAGAATATTTCAGTATTAACTTTATAATTAAAATATACCGATGAATTTATTTAAGTCATAAGTCATTTATTTTTAAAACGAGAATGATTGAATATCAACAGTGGCCTCGTGTGCATAGGCCCTAAACCGAACGTCGCGACGGCGAACAATTTTCCTCGAATTCACTTTGCCACGTGCTCCTTCAACATGTGGCGTGTCTACTTATGCCTTTCTGTCATAATCGCTTTTTGTGCGTTTAAGAGTTGTTGACACTAACCTCGTGAACCCTGAGACCGTATGCAAAACAGTGAAAGGATCAACGACTGGAAATAACTACGAAAACCGTCTAAAGTTCGGAAGACTTAGCTGTTCAAATCTGCACGCACACGTTCGTATATAGTTGCGTTCAACAAGCCGAGACACTAAATATAAACAAATGCACGAACTGGCTTTTAGGTGGAACAAAGGGGCAAAATAGTTTTAAGATAATTTTTATTGTTCGCACATTCACGACTGCTGACATGAATTCGCGTTTTTTAAGGTTAATATTTCAAAAGAAATTTTATAATTTGTGTCCTTGTTACAACGTCTGAAATGTGTGGCAATTAGATTAAGATTTTCTTCATTTTCACTAGTAATGAGTAGTAGAAATACGACAAATTTATTGGTCGCGAATGTGTTAAGATAATTTATGTTGTTAACACTTAGGTAACCGAGTGAGGAGATATTTGTCTTGTCACTGAAAAAAGCATTGCCTTTTACTTTGTTTTATTTGTTCCATCTTTGAGATAAAACCAAAAGATTCTAATGTAGCAAGAAAATATTTAACATTAGAACTACTGTACCAGTCAAAATAATTGATTTCGGTTTTTTTGTTCCGCAATTATTGATATTTTCAAAGCATTGAACATTCGAAATGGTTTTGAAAATAAATTGTTTCACTTGAATACTATAATGAATGTCTGAAGAACCTGAAAATAATCTATTGTTGCAATTTTTATAGGGATTATATATCAATCGTATTGAATGCTCGGTAATTCTAGTGTCAAATTTAAAATGAATTTTTACTCAGTTCAACAAGAAGGTACCGAATTAATTTCTATTTCTTTCACACGTGCGTGCACAAGGAGCCTGCTGCAAAACGTGTCGCATACGCAATACTCGAACTTAAAAACATCATTTCCTTACGAAGGTCGGTCAGTTAATAAAAATTTACCTACAATGGATCGTAGAGGAAGGGTCAGGCCACCTGACATTTCCGGAATTTTTATGGTAACTATATCCAGGTAAAAAGTTCGTCATGATGAACTATAAGAGTAGAACTAAGAACTTTTTATAATTTTCTTGTCTTCTGGAAATAAATTTGAAACGTTATATCAATCATACAAACATTTCTAATTGTCCTCTATTGGAAACGCTAATTTTGAATGGGTTAATCTCATTATGCGTTAATCTCACTAATAGATTAATTAATGGAAAACATATTTCCAAATTTTCTTCGCTACAATTTGTTACGTTTTCGCGAAAATACGACTGAATTACTTCAGATTTCTATTCCTTGAGCCTTTTACATCGATTTGCAGTAATAATTAGAGTTTAAAGAAACGCAAAAGTTTGGATTGCCCACATTAGGGTTGATGGAGGTATTTAAGAAAAAGATAGTTGTTTCTTTTCTCTCTTCACATCGAAAAATTGTTGTACAAGGCCATACATTTTATTTGCAAGATTAAATGAGATAAACTGTTACAATTATATTGATTTTAATCCTCAGTATCATTTTGTAACATTCATGTAACGTAAAAAGAAAGAGCCAGTGATGCTATTGGTTAATTTCATATGTGAAATATACGTAATTACATTGTTGTCATAATGTCCCACAAATTGTCTCCAAGTGAAAATATATAAATACAAAAACTCCTTCTGGTGCATTGTGTCTTATTCCTGAATGTTTTCGTTAGAACTACTAAAAGCAACGGATAAAGTGTTCCTCTTTTTCCTTACAAGGAAAGGTATTGAACCCGAAAATTCAAAAAATGATGAAACTTTGTGTGTAAGTGGATTAAGTCAAGCCTAATACATTGCAATTTCTTTTTCGTGGCGAATTTCACTTTGAAGGGGTGAAATCACTTAAAAATTTTCAAATCAATCATTTTCAAAATCAGAATTTGGAAAAATTCTATTAATGTTTGAAATTTCTGAAAACATTGTTCGAAATATAATGGCAACAATAATAAAATTGTATAAAAATCTGTAATAACTTAACATGTTTCTGCATGGCGTAACTTGGCGTAACTTGGTATATTTTTACGGTAACATATGGAAGAAAATACATAGATAAGAATTTTTGTAAGTGTAATAAAAAAATCATGATACTAAGGGCTAAATATTTTTGTACACCAAATTATACTTTCACTGCGACTTATTTAAATGTAATATGTGAATTTCAACCTGTGCCAATTTTGAATAACTCTTATAACTACCCGTACTTTATTTTGTGGACCAAATTATCACCAATATGCCGATATTGCGTTTCTCTTTGTAATTCGATACCGATTAACCTGCATGAATAAGATTTGTGTCACCACATGAACGGAGGAAGTTTAGCAACAGGAAACTTGAAATGATTGGGTCGATTCTTGCATGGACAAGGTTAGTCGGTTTGTGTCAATAACCGGTATACTTTTCTTTCAATTTTTCCCCTTATATTCCAGAAAGTCTAAGCAATGTATATGCAATACGTGCCGCTACGCTGTAACTCCCGTGCATTTGCGTCGAGTTAACGATCAACGCCAGTTTTCATGACTAATTGTAGCGAGTTTTTTTCTGATTGAACCAGTTAACTGTGGAATTTAGTTTGAAAAATCTCTCGTTTTGCGAGTAATAAAATGAAAAAATGAAGTGTGTACTTATCAAACGCAGGACGAATGCAGCTAGAGTATATTTTAATGAAATACTAAAGCGAGACAAAGAACAATCACATATTTATCTGAAAAAATAAAGAATTTATCGTTGAATGAATTAGTGTCACTGAAAGATGACGTGTATACTCGCCAAACGCAGTTAACTGGCTAATGAGTGTCTAAAACAGGGGTGGACCAAAGGTATTTGCTGTCAGGTGCAAATTTTGACTGGACTCCAATGTGTTCACTTTTCCTTTGTGTTTGATTTCTGACACCGCCAGCAATAATTAAGAGACGAAGCTTTGTAGAAACATATTTTACATCAGATTTTGTTCGTTTTTGTATAAAAAAGAATTTGTGAAAAAATTGTAATATAGGTCTTTTTTTTTAATACACATTCATTTATTCTTTTATTTGTCTCTAAACTGACCTCTGATCAATGGTTTCTGAAATGATGTCTTGATTATTTATTTTTCCCCCTTATAGTATAAAGATAGCATACTTATATTATATTTATACTGTAATACTTATATTATTAATATAAATATTAAATATTGTATTAAACATTAAATATTAAATATTATATCGATAAGTGAGTACATACATTTGTACATATTTACAGCATATGCATATGATGAAAATCATACGAGAGAAGTGCAATTTTCTATTCAAGATTAAATAAAAGAAAAACTAAGAGTTAATTGAGGAGTAAATTTTGAGCAATATGAGTACTCACCCTATCAAGCAGGCCAAATTTCCGGAAATTAATGAAGCTTGGCACAATACTGCTCGCCAAGTGCACTAGTCTGTCTTCGTAGCCCCAAAGATAATCGTGAGCGGTGATGTGCAGGATCGGTTTGCTGTCCAACATGTTGACCAGACTTGACCATGGAAAATTGACAAGGAAACTTGCGTCGTGCAACGTCGAAGAAATCCCCTGTGAACATAATTACCGGATATGAGACAACGCAACGATCGACACTACTTTAATTTATGAGTCAAATGTAAATGTTATTTATGAGTGTAACGTAAATTACACAGTAAAGGGATCGATTACCACGTTTAATTGCTTAATTTAATTATTCTTGACCAGTAAACATTGAAATTCAATCAGGATTCAATTAATTTATTAGAATTCGAATTCATGAAAATAATGACCTCATTAAGTTACATTTGCCACGTGCACAATTCGGTTAAATTGCCAGTCATGTTTACAACAATCTTTTTGCTAACAATTGAATGTAACATAGTTTTAATCGATCGGGAATCTGAAATTGTAAATACAACAATTTTCTTTTTAAGAAACCGTAGCAAGGGGATTCTATTTTCATTGCGGTTGTGTTCGTTCTCTGAATAGAAATGTATGTACATATCTACTCGTGATTCGATGCATTTACGTTGACTGTTATGCGTGAATCACGTTAATCACCGATTAATTTATCAGTTAATATTGAATCAATTTTTAATTATGTTAGTTTATTATTTCCCCATACATTATTCTGTAATTCTTTTCATATTGGCTTTTACAATTAATTTCTTCTTAGACGTGGAACTGAATTTGAAAGCTTATTTATTTTTTATAAATTAATCATTGGTACATGACTAATTTATTACGTTAATTTCAATTTATTCAATGATTTTCTTAGGTGTGTATCTAAGAATTAGAAATATGATAATAAGTATTTAAAAATTATCTATTTCAAAATTAATTTTACGAAGAAAATTTCTAACTTTAAAAATTAACTCGTAGAGTTACAAAAACACGTTTTGCAGGAAACGGTGCTTCAGGCTTTCCTAAAGAAATTATACACGTTTTTATAATATAATGGATTGTAATTCACAATCACGAAGACGTCATTAAATTACTGGGAATATGTTTTCCTAGTGAGAATAACTCCAAACACGCTATAAATCCGCTGATGGCGTGGATTAGGTCAATGTCGATGGATTTTATGCAGATTGTTTCTAAGAGTCAACGCGCGTGAAGAAGAAATAAAAATTGTAAAAACACGTGTATACGTGGAAAAGAATCGAAGCCGTGTTAGATTTTTACAAGAATTGAAAATGTTTCGAAAATAACTCGTTGAAACTGTTATATATTGTCACACGAAACAAGAAATAATATTTTTTTAACTTAAACTTTGTTACTTTGTTCGAAAGAACTGTAAATCTGCACAAGAACCTGTTGTTTATTCATAAGTACATATTGAACATGTTTCCATCAATACCTTCAGTCTTTAATGATTCACTGTTCGTGACTATTCGAGGTGTGCCCGGCAAATGTATCTTCTTTTTTGCGATAAAAAATCATCGCAATAATTATCCCTTCGGGAAAGGAGCGTTGACGATTGACCTATTAATAGCGTAAAAATTGCACTGTAATAATGAATTATAGGTAATATTATGACAGTCATTTCGACGGATAATCGTCGCCCCTTATTAATTACGGCTAGTAAATTGCAGCCTTCTCATTTACAATTCATATCTGAGTTTTACGTGTTAGTCAGCAAACGAGATAAGAAAATAAAAATGAAAACGTTTAGCGCCGTTTAACACATCACAAAAAGAGGTGACGCGAAACATCATCGAATTCATGAGTTTTATAGTTCTTCTAATCTATCGTTGACAAGACGAAGTAATTGAAGTGTATTCATCTTCTTGCGGATGATAGATTCCGTCAGGTGCGTCAACGACGATGAGCTTGATTTATTATTAGATATTTGCTTCGAATTTACACCGACGAAAGGAAATCACCTAACTCGCACTTACTTGACGATTCGAATGGAACGTGCTACACGCAATTTTTTTGTAACTACTCAATTCCGAGTTTAGTATTTAAGTAGTGAGAATTGAAAATAGATTGAAGATGAAAATTCTATTTTATGAAATATTTTGAAAATTAACGAAAATAAAAATACGATGAATACAAAATTGCTGGTGTGTTTATGAAATTTTAAAGGTTTTTCAGGATTCTTAGACCCAGCAATTAATCGAGAATTGATTATGAAAGTTTGTTAATGTGGAAAGATACTCTTTTGTAACTGTGATAAACGTTCGTAAGGAAATAGCGTTGTATAAATAAACCCGTGATTCTGAATATTTATAGATGTATGTCTTATATAAACAAAATTGTAAACTACCGGTGAGTTTCTCAATAATAGCCTCTGGTGATAGTTTTTCTCGTAAGGATGTAGATCGGAGGAAATTATGATATGTAGCAGTTTCACAATTTAAATAAGCAGTCGCTATTTATTCATTCAGTCCAATTTTAATAAGAATGTTTAAGTCGATTATGTGTGATTTAATAAATTATGTTTAAATCGATTTACATTTTTAAGCATTATAACAGGTTAACAGTTAATGTAATGTTTACTAAATGTTAGTGTAAAACGATATTGAATAACTGTTGTCATATGCTTAGAGTATTATAGTATACTTTATAATGTAACGGTATGATTATAATAGTACTATAGTACGAAGATAATTTTTAAAAAGCTCAAGATTCCATCGAAACTTTATTGGGGAAACCATATGTCTTTTTAAAAATAATATTAGAGGAGATTTCGCTAATAAAAGTATTCTTAAAATTTTTATCCTATTCTTATGTTATCTACTTAAAAGTGTTCTTAGTCTTATATTATAAAATTAATCATCTCTCACCGTATCGATTTTTTTTCAACGTTTTCTTGGTTTACGGATTATAATAACTCTATGATTGTTTTAATAAACAGTAAAAATCCATGATGTTTACTCAGTTTTACTTTTACGAAATACTTTTAGACAGATATAGTATAACATATAATATAATATAAGTACAAGTATTATATTATATAATATAATATAAGTACAAGTATTATATTATATATTATAATATGGTATAGTATAACATATTATAATAATAGATATAGATAAAAATGTACTGCATCTTTTTCAGATTCAACATTTTTAAACAATTTGTCAAAAGTAGTATTGATATACACAAATTTTGGTTAACCTATTTTTTTACGTCGTATTATTGCAAATAACTAAATATGAATCTAAAATGAATCGATAAAGTAAACAGCTACATATGTTATATGTTATATGTTCTCACAATTAATATAATTGCATTAAGATTCTCGGGAAGCTGAAATTAACTCGTTAACTGAGTAATTGGTCATTTACGTGTGCGCGGTGGCATTGCCGAATAAATTACGAATGTGCTTTCACTCACCAGCATTGGTATGTTCGGCACGTACAGCATATCAGCCTTTGGGTCACCACTGGACATTTCTGGAACGAATAGTATCGTTCGCCTCGGATGATATGAAATCGTATTGTTGTCGTACCACGTGACATTGTGATTCTCTAATATTTCCCTGAAATCAAATGGATTGACACCATCGGTATAGCAAATCATTAATTTTTTGTTGATATTCTTTAAATTAAAAAGAATTCTTTTGAATAAATTCTCACATATAAAAGAGAAATATAATATCTGTAAAATACAAATTTTATCAAAAGAAAATACTATATAAAATTGTCTTGAAAGTATTATAAATATTGATTCCGTTAAACGTTAACATAAATACAAAAATTTTAGTTATAATTAAATTTTAAAAAATAGTGGAACATATAATTCTATTCGCTATTTTTGTCCGATTATTGTATTTATTATTAATTAATTTATATTTAAAAGATAATTAGTGAGTTTTTAGTAAGAATGTTTCAATATAAATGATATTTTACTTACTGATATACGTATGGTCCAGTTTCTGCAACCTTCAATTTTTCTTCGCCTCTGAGAAATTCCTCCGAGTTCGTAATATTAAATACATATACCTTGATGAAAATATCGATAGGAGGCTTCTTCCATAAGTCGAAAACTAGTGAATTCGGTGTCATTTGCAATTTCTAAAGGAATATATTTGAACTATTAATATTTGCCAACTATTGTTATTACTAGTCAATTATCTAGTTCTTACATGTTTAACTTATTAGACGTCAAAGATTGACTCATTCGAGAATCAGAATTCAAAATTTTCATCAAAGAGTGATATACTAATTTTTATACTACTTTTGATACTTCGAATTCAAATATTTTTGTTTAAATTTTATCATTAAAGCATCATATGTATCTACAGAACTCAGGATTAGCAGTAATAAAAATCATTTACAATTTCCATTTAAATCTATACATTTTCATTGTTATCTTTCTATGAAAGAATATAACACAGACAGTGTTACAGACATTTATCATTTTATTTCTCTACTTTTTATCATTTCAATCACATTTCTCAAGTAATATGGAAGTTAACACGTTGTCCGTTACAAAAATTTCGAGTGTTTTGTGTAATATTACTCATTCTTTCATAAAGATAAATAATATTAGAAATAATTATTAATAATTTGATATCATAGTTTTTACGTTACACTATTGTTTAGTAGTTACGTCATTAAATATTTTTATTCGATATGAGTTTTCTTGTTTTAATCGTTTCCAAGTAATTCGAGAGCTCCACGGTCAACGTGTTAACCCTTTCAGAACAAAAGTCAGCATTTTGGAGACACCAAACTTCCATATTTGAGATATAAAATTAGCAACATATAATTTAATTATTCGAACAACAAAAGATCGATACATATCCTTTTTCTACTCTGTAAGAATTCTGTATATAATTTAGCTGTCTCTGTTGAAAATATTGAATATTTTTGAAAAGCCTCGTCGGTAAAGCGTTGATAAACGAATTTTAATTACTCACGTAATCTATTATTAGCTTCATCGGGTTTATTATGTAGGTAAAATAGGCACCTATGGTACAAATGACGGCCAGCAGGAATAGAATTATACATTCTGTAACAAAACAAGAAAAAAACATTTAAAAACAAGATAGTCAACAGTCTTTGAATTTACGCTACTCATCTTTGTTTGCATTTTCAATCTATCCTTCGCGTCCGCTTACCGGGAAACTATTTTCCGCTTGGATAATTATTCAAACAATGTTAAATTCAATGATACGACATTCAGAAAGGATTTATTTTCATTCTGTACTCAACGAAATGCGTTAGCATTAAAAGATTTCCGTCGGAAGTTTGCAGGCTATTTTCATTACGAACACGTAACGCCATTCATAGTTTTCCAGTAATCCGTTATCATGTGTTAATGACAGAACAATGTTTATCTAATAAATAATTATGCAATTTTCAACAAACACGAATCGAGACAATATAAGAATATTGAGTAGTTGAAGTGGAAACTGTTGTGTTAAGCAATAAGGAGGAAAGTGTGAACGTTGTTGCTTAAAAGTTTCCAATTATACACATCCTTAAACAAATTCTTGTAGTTCTATTTTATTAGTTTTTCAAAAAGTACATATACATTTTAATTATAATCTTTATTTTATTTCTAGTTAAGTGAATATTAAATTCAAAAGTTTTAAATCTGAAAATAAAAATTTTAAAGTTAAATAATATTTCGTTACTATGGTAGAATAGTGTTTTCAATGAACCGATTATTTATTTATGAAATATTTTCATTGTTTCGAGAAGGAAGTATCTGATCAGCGATGATCAGAAAATACTACAAATGTTATTTTATTAAATCATTCATAGCTTGATTCATGTGATTTCATATTAGAATTAAAATACGTTATTATAATTAAATTTATACTATATAATACATATACTGATACCAGTATTATGATCTTAACGAAAATGTTCTGTTTTTTGTTTACTTAACAGAATAATAAGAATATTAGTTAATAATATTATACACCTGGTGTTTATTTTTCGATTATCTTGCTTTAATGTGTTTTCCAAGGAAAATGAATTAACGTGTCATTGTTATGCATCTGTACTCTTAATCTATTACTCGTTTTTTCAGACGTTTATCAGAAGATAATTCATTGTAGTGTTATCATAGTATCTCATATATGTCATTTAGATCACGTATACGTGTATTATGAGATAAATTCCTTTATATCATTTTTATTCATACGCATTCCTGTTTGCGTAGACGTTCATAGGCAAAAAGTTATCTTACTGACAAGTTAATATCGTTTTTACGTGGAATAACAAGAGGAATTATTGTGCGTAAAAAAGATATGTTTTCATTAAAAAAAATGTTTCATTACGTATTGCACGTGCATTATATAACTATAAAAACGATATTATTTTTCCCCTTTATAGTTTTGTCCTTCTAATTGCGAATAGAATAAAATAGACTTATATTGTATTGCATGTATCGTTATCCTCAAATGGGGCCTACTTAAAAAATGACTAGAAAATATATTTTTAATATTTTTGTAAAGAAAGTAAAAACAAAATTTGCCAAGTAGCGAGTTAAATTTTAAATAATAAAATAACATATGTAATAATAAATATGTAATAATAAAAATAACAATGAAATAATATACACGGTGATTTTGGCTGAACTTAGAAAACATAGAGGACAAAAATTGAGTGGTGCAAGGTTCTGCATATATTCATGACTATAGGTATAGTCAAACCTGTTTTTGTGTGGTCCTTTCCTATACGACTTTTTTTGTACGATTTATTTTATGCGGTATATGAATTCCAACGGTGTTGTTGTTTTTCAAGCGACGAAAGTGACTTTGAACCAGTTCATCAAAAGAAGATGCGCGTTTTGGACTACGACAAGTAGCAGTAAATTATGTGCATTGTGAAAATTTCTCCATGTATGAGAAATTAAATTTTTTTTAGTGATTTCATGTATAATTTAATTATTTATTTTGTTTGAAAGCACTTTCTCACTATTTCGTAAATTTCTGAACATTTTTTTTTGTGCGGTTTCTTTTATGCGTTCCCTATCTACCGCACAAAAACAAGTTTGACTGTATTTTATACATGCAATTACGCACGTGTATTTCGCAGTTACAGTACTTTTTTCAATTGAAATCTATGTCTTTCTTTACACGAATCAAATGTCTTTTTCATTCCACGTAAACAAGTATTACGATAATATAGTTCATAATGAACTAAAAAATTCAAAATATAATATCTGAATCAAAAACTTCAATTAAAATCTATTAAATGTAAATCTAAAACTGTATTAACTATATATCAATATTAATATCAAAAACTGTATTACACTTTACCAAAACGTTCTTTACAAAACACAACATCAAAATCTATATTCTTAAAAAAAATTTTTTAAATATTATCCTATGTAAGATGCTCTATAAATAATCTATATTTCCATACATATGCACAGATGATTAAAAACAATAATTTAAAAAGTTTTTCACCCTAGTGCCGCACATAACACAAGCAATACGAATACTTTCATCTTTAACCCCTTACCCAACGATGTATCCCTCAACTATGATCGATATAACTACTTTTTCATTAATAATTATTATTAATTTTTAAGTATTAATTATACAATTATAATTTATTGAAAAAAAACAGAAGGATTGTAGGTGTATTCACTGTCTATGTTTGCTCTAAAATATAATTATTGATAACAGAAGAATAATATTTAATTTGAATTTAAAAGAGTTGAGTAATATCTATGCTTGTTAAATTCCCTATAAAATTTGCACCACGTGTCTGATACGTTGTTATAAGGCAGGGGGTTAATTATGACTATAAATTATGTCGATGGTAAAATTTCATATACAATTCGATAAAATAATATAAATGAACAGATGCATCGGAGATGGGAATAAAATTGCTATTCCGAACGTATTGTGGTACGTTACGTCAGAAAGTCATTTTGCATCGTGCATCGTAAAACGCGAGAGAAGTTACAAGTTCTTCTCGGATTGTTTAGACTGCGAAGGTTGCTGAATCGAATTATTATGATTTCCATCGGTGAAAAACGAGGGAAATACTGTGCATGACGCCGTTGAGGTCACGGCGATGCTAAAGTCCCATTTAATTTATAGCTGATTCAACGGAAAGCCGGGGTACCTTGGTGAAACCGTTACACTTGTCGTATTGCGAATAGTTATCGTCTGATTGTGGTTCGCTTAATAATCATCATTGTAACTGTGATTCCACTGAATTATCAGTGCACTGTAGGATTTTTTCAGACAAACGGTTTAATCTGGAGGAAATAGTCTGTAAAAATCAAGTTATTTGCATCACGTAGTTATGATTTTGAACGTTTTTTAGAAGTTTTGCAGCAATGTTATATCTTTCTAAACTTAGTAGTCATGGCAATGCGTTCCGAAGATTCTAACAGTTATACATAATCAACTTTTTATTCAATGAATTTTTATGAGGTGTAAACAAAAATGTATGCCTATTATTCTGTTTAAAGAGTGTTGTAATGAAATCAATAAGAAAATGTTAATAAACAATATTATTTATTACATTTTATGATTGTTCCCACGTGGGAATTTCATACATATACCAACATGTTCACAGTTTCCGATGTCGTTATTTAATTTTATAATTATATAAAAGTGTTCATTTAAAAAGTGCAGAATTGTTGGAAACAATAAAAGGGTTAATTTAAAAACTTCTAATAAGTCAACAAATAAAAAATTATTCCCAGTAAAGTTATTTCTTTTGTGTTGTAATTGTGTAAAAACTACTATTTTGTAAGGCAAGAAATAAATCGAGGATTTTATTTAGAAAAATGTAAGATGCGTTGAATCTGAATGCACAATAAAGACTGACTTAATCTTTTGAATGTTAATATTCAGGACGTTTCTATTAAATACGAATTAACATGAGTTCTAGACGTTTCTTTCATACATATATGTATAGGGTACATACAATGTAAGGATGCAGCAATTTCGTTATCATTCACGTCTGATCGTCACTGGAACTTTCTATCATATGCACATATACATATAGATAGATATTCATTTCATATAGAAATAATGTAAACGATTGAGAAAACATGTTCTTGGAAACGAGTATTACATAATTAAGAAGACTGTGATAACTTTTGGTAACATTAACATTTAAACTACTTTTATATTAGGTACTGGGAAAGTTTGTGCGATTTTTTATTAGCAATGAATCAAGATCCGATTTCAATAAATATTTCACTAATTTAATGTATGAAATTAGTATTAACAGCAGGTTATGTTTACGTCGTTGATATTAACTAAAATAAAATTATTTTACAAAAATATTCTCTATGTTTAAATGTTGATTTAAGAACACACACGAACTTTCTTCGGTACCTAATAATTATAAATATATCGTAATTAAAATAGTATTCGGAAAGTCGAATTAATTATAAAAAGAAATTTATTCTTATTTATTCATCTGGCTGATGTTGAATTTTCCAAGTGTAGAATATCTATTTCATTTGTTGCTTCAGCTTTGATTCGATATAAGCTGAATTTGACTCGTTAATTACAATCAAGTATTTAAACAAAGCAGTCTTTAATCAAAATTTATTGTTATAAAATTTTCAGTGATAGCATTGATGGTAGCAACTGATTTATCTCTGTATATAAACAAAAATTCATTCAGTACAAAAATATTTGTTATCTTTTTTACAAAGAGATTTATCTTAAAAAAATAATCTTTATATGATAAATCTGTGAAAGAATCATGGCCCCGAAGAATTTTCCTTTTCCCTCTGATTTCCATGTGTTTACACACAATCAGAAAGAAAAAGAGATTATATGCTCCTCACGTGTATTAAGTCTTTTTCTCTGCTTTCATAATCGATCATTTTTATGGTAATGATGTACGTAGATTTAAATTATGACGCAATGTTCAATAAGCAGTTACACATGTGCTTAATTAACTGTGCACGTGTTATAGCAAATGAAGCTGTAACATTACGTCATTGGGGCAATCTCTATATTTCTTTTGTTAGTCCCAATTGCTACCGTCTTTAATTGCTACATATTCATGACACAT